ATCCTCGCACATTTGTGAGTGCTCGATGCAAAGTCTGCAGCCAGGTTACAAACCAATTCGCCCGCTTCAAAGCTGCGGGCAGCAAACACGCCGAGGCCTCCAAGGTGAAAGACAAACTGCAAAATCCAACACCAAGCGTGCCATTGGTATTGCTGCTGCAATGTGCCTCCGTCAGCATAGGCGCCTGGGCGCATTGGTGTGCAAAGCCAAGTTGGAGCGCGGGTCTTGTGCGACAAATCCATGCCCTTCAACTACCTCAAGCATCACAGTTGGACAAACATGGACTGCCTCCCGGCACTTCCCAAATGCCTAAGGCCTTGCTGAAAGGAAGGAGGTAAAAGCTGCGCAGCCAAATTCCCAGCTGCGAGGTTCAGCCAGGTGGCTTTGTCTAATGCGCAACTTGTCAAGGCCTTCCACATCTGGTAAATCCTGCAACAGCATCCACACAAAACTGGTAAACAAGTTCTGTAGTGCCCAGCAAAAGACTTCCGTGCGGCAAGACATTGACGTGTTTGCAACCTCTATGTTCTTCGGATGTTGACAGCTGCCAAATATCCTTGTCGCCTTTCCAGTCAACCTCAGGATCCAGAATCCGCAGCAAAACTGAAAACAAGGGTAAAGCAGCTGGTCTGGGGTTTGGGCCATAACTGAACAACAGGCCTTTCAACAGCTTCACGGACCGCCTTCTTTGCGCAATAAATTACATTGCCACGAAGACAAGAAGCCCTCAGACGATGCGCAACCGCAAACGGATTGAAACGAGAGACCCACGTATGAGGAAGGACACAACGCCACAGAGACAGATAAGAGAAGCTTTGAGCTCGCTAGGCCGTTATTAGTTCTTAGTTCTTTCTATCAATTTCTATGTATTTTGTTGTATTCTGCCATTGTGGCGTTGCTGGGCTCCTTCAGCCACCGCAGCAAGGGCTCACAGCTCCTCCCTGCCCGCAGCTGCACACGGGCACGACTGAGTGTGCGCGGCCTTGCCAAATGCCTGCATGGCAGTGTAGAAGTGTAGGGGAACATGCAAGGTGCAACACTGTCATGATTCAGGGATTATGATTTTACTGATGCTAGCCCTGGGGGATCACTTTGAGAAGGCTGCTACAAGTCACCATGTCATGTCCCCTGGTTGGCCAGCCAATCTGCCAAAGCATAGCATGCGGCAAGGCGCCCCAGCCTAACTACGGGCACTGCCAGAAGACCGGAGCACAGCGGCTGGCTCCAGCCTTGCGCAAGCAATCCACACAGCCCTCGCGCAAATTGCGTCCCGGGGGTCAGTCCTCTTTTACGCGTCAACATGTTTTGCACTTTCCCTCTCAACCGAAAAGGCGATGCAAGCAATAAGGACATGATTGTTGAAATTTACGCAGCTGGGCCGCAAAACCTGCTTTCGCCCTTGCCTCCAAATCCAATGAGATCCAAAGGGAGGCGCAAACCGGATATACCGGTCCGGAATACTGGAGATAAACATAGATTTCGGAATGCGTTGTTGTACTTGCTGCAAAAATAAAGAGTGAAGACCTAGGTTTGCCGCATCTAGGCGACCTTCAGTGGAAGAAGATATGGTTTTCTTTTTTTTCTCCTTTTTTTCTCCGAGCAAGACTGCCAATATCTTGTCAAGCAAGAGTGCACATAATTATCCTCGTCTGAATGCCAAAGATCCGCCAATCCAAGCAATTGCTTTCCCCCGCACACAAATAAAAGCAAGGGATTCCGAATTGTGGACCATTAACCTCCAAACAGGAATCCAGCTTGCCTGAGAACACAAACTCCAAGCTATGACGCAAGTCACCTGAACAATGTTAGTCTGCTTCCAACAGGTGTCTAACCCTCAAGTTGAAAATTGATGTCCTCTAAATAGTGTTATGCACGTCTCCATAAATATTTCATGAAGAAGGCAGCAATCAATGCTCACTCCGCACCGAATTTCAACATCATTGATATGAATTAGCCCGAAGCCCACCGGCAGCGCACGGCACCGACTTTCACAAGTTGGGCTGCACTGCACGGCACGCAAAACTCAAACATCGCAAGGTGGTTACTTTGGAAAGTCTGTATTGTATAGCTTCTATCATCCCTGTCAACTTTCTTCTTGGCTTCCCTGCCGATAATTCAAGCTTCAACAAAGCCTCTATGGAGAGTGAGACAAGGTTAGACCTCCTCCCCTCAAATAAACACTCCATTGCCTAGCTAAGTATGGACTTGCAAAGCCGCCCAAGCGTTGCAACGTGCTCTGCACACACACACACACACTGATGAGGGTGGCCAAAAACAGGACAAGTGGCGGCGAATTTCAGGATTGGAGGGCCGAGCACTTGCTTACAGGACCTCCTCAGTCTACACTTTGACTTACTCATGCAGGCCGCAAATCTTGTGCAACCGGCACCAGCCGCCCACAACCAATACGCGACTAGAACAGGTTTGACCCTCACAGTGCCAAGTTTACTTCCAAACGCTCCTCAAGGGGATCCTTAGCACCATGGCAAAAGTCAAACCTAGTCGAAACGAAAACGCGACGGCAGAACCTTCTGGTGCTGAGGCACTGCATGCGCGCCTGCCCGATGTGTGGGGCGAGGGACCTGAACAGCCGGCACCAGCCTCAGCGCAGGCCCGAAAGTTAGGCTTGATTGACCTTGGTGCTGAATCTGCGTATCAAACAGGCTTTCTGTCTTTCTGGTCGCACAAATACCTGTTCATGCATTTTGCTCTAGATGAATCGTCTCAACTTGTTGCAATATGATGCTTGCGTAGCCCGAAGAGAACAATAGATCCAGCTGTACCAGCGTTCACAACCTCAAATTGATCCCTTCGAAACACTCGACACGCCCTGAAGGGTTCAAGCAGCCAAGCCTCTGGCCGGGAACAGGCCACATCCATTGGCAAGAGGCGGCCCCGTTCAGACATGCCGAGTCGCGGCATGTGGGGTCCCTCGAGTCGCGATTTCGCTTACTAGGTGATGCGTGATTCATTTGTGTCCTGAAGCAAAGCTACGATTCTGGGGCCAGTGAGCTTCAGGGGACCGGCCCCAAATTACATGCAAATCCTGCAAACAAGTTGAGACTTGGCTGACGTCTGCATGTCACTGCCAGCGAACAGGCTGACCCAAAAAGGCTCCCGACTTGCTGAATCCTACCAAACCCCCCGTGAGTGCCTCGCTACTGTACGACTTGGCCTGCCTGGTAAACTTTTTCTGACCTGCGCGTGTGTGAAACCATTGGCAGGTCCGGGAAAAATGTTGAAGGAAACAGCGAATGAGGCCAGTGGCCCTGATAGAGCGACTCCAGCGAGTTTGCTAACAGCCGTTGGCAGTCCCTTGCAAGCACCATGTGAAGGTCCATTGTGACCCACAGTATGGCTCAACTACACAAAATGCTTGACTAGAACACAAAACAATACGACTCGGAAAAGCGTCCCATATCTTGCTGCTGCTTTGCTGCATCGTTCTGCTTCTATTAAGTTGGGGATTTGAGTGGATTCTGCAGTCCATGTCCACGCATCTCTGGCAGGGTTACGTGCTTGCAACTTGACTTCAGCTTTACGCTTCTGTTCGTGCAGCGGAACTCCCGTCAGCCGTCGGCACAGCCAGCTGCTGTGATGAGGTGTTCAACAAAAAAGCCCACCTGGAGAGTGACAGGACTTCTATTCCTCACCGGATACCCGGATACCATTGGCCAAGTCAAAATGCAACACAGCAACACAGCGAGCAAATTGAGGTGCCTTGAGATGCGTTCTGTCTACACATGCCAACTTTGCAATAGCTCCATGCTCCATCAGCTGTCCCGACCACCACCGAGCTGTCTTCTAAAGCAGCTGGTGCTCTGAAACTGCAGCTGGGCCCGGGGCAACAGGCCAAACCGGGCACCATGCTGAATTCAAGTCTTAGCCACTCGATCTGTTGGTTCGCTGCATACACCCTCAAGGCCTGGCCTCACAGCGCTTGAGTTTCCCCAGTGCCTAGACTCCTGGCAGAAAGCATACACTAAGGCATACATGTCCAAATATCTCGTGCACGGCTCCCTTGCAACTGTAGATTCTTGGAAGAGCCACGATATGCCGTGATTAGGCTTTTAGTTGTCCGCAGTGGACCCAAGAAAAAAAAGCAAAAGGCAGCGCAAGCCGGTGGCAAAGACAAGGCTGGCGAAAAACCCACTGGGCGCGGTTTGCGTGTACACGCCTTGAGCGAATGAGGCAGCGCTACATGGCTCGGCGACCGAACCGCGGACGCTCACAGAGCCATTTTTTGCAACAATGGCTCAGCTTAGTACGTAGCCTGCAATATGGCAATGAGTGTGGAGATCCCTGGAGATCATTTCTCTCAAGGGGGCCTGCTGCCAGCCTCCATGTTCGTGGGAGCGACCGGCCCCTCTCCTCATCCGAAGCCTTTGTCAGAGGGCAGTATTGGATGCAACCCGGTGGAGCACAATTGACTATACTTACCGAGGAATCCAATACATTTGATGGATTTCCCACGTGTTCTGGGACTGTAGCTGAACCCCACATTGGCATGCAGTTGGGTGATAATCATGTGCAGTTGGTGTTGTTGTTGGTAGACTCACTTTGTCCCTCTTTTTAACGTTGCTTGACTGGATTGCAAACCATGCAAATTCAGCAACATATTGAGGAAAACATTCGAGGAGCCCTTCTTGATTGTGCGCTCGGCTCCAGGGAAGTGAAACAGCTGGAAACATCAAAGCTCGTAACGCAGGCTCGCCTGGCCTTGTCCGCCAGAGTCGCGTTGATAAGAAGAGAGCTGACCAATGCACACCCAGAAATGCATAGAAAGGCTGCAGCTAAAGCCCCACTTGCTTCTCGAACACACCAATTTAAGGAGCCCTTACCCGCCGACAGCTTCGCTTCAAAACTTCCAATCTTGAGGAAACAAGTCAGTTGCAGAGAATCGAACACAAGAACTGGCCCCAACAAAATGCAGCGCTTGGAGATATTGTGCGCCTTACTTTCCGACCGACGTCATAATATGCGATGATTAGCAAGGATTCTGCAGGCAAACAACCTATGGCGAGCACTGCACATGAGCATTGTCACGAAACTGCGCCAAGCCCTCAATGCCACTCACATGGCCAAGAGCAGCCGCCTCGGGAAGAACGTAGTAACTGTTCAAAAGGAACATGCTTACCTCTTTACAATCCTTGGACTCCTTGGACATCTGTGGCTTGTCTTCAAGCCTCGCTGAAATTCTTTCAGTGGCACGCAGCGGACTGTTCTCCAGCCTGCTCATTGGGGTTCGCAAAGAAAAGCCGCTGCTGCCGCCTGCGGCCACTCTGTGAACCTCATTTCTAACCGAAGCGCACCACCCCTGCATGCTCACTAAGTCCCTTTCAACGCACAATTTAGCCGGCCAGCACCCAAAATTATGCTATCGCAAACTTCATAAAGCATAAGGCACTCATTGGCTGTCTCTTTGTCCTCTACCTGAACGGTTCCTTGATTCGGAATGTCATTGTGCGCTCATGAATGTTTGGGTCCATGGTTGCAACAGTTCATTGGACATCCCTACCGACACATCTCAAGGCCACCACCAGGAGATTCTGAGGTTGAAATGATGAACTTTTGAACGGATGATAATTTGAAGGCGTCGCTGGGAAATGCGTGAAATCGAAAACAGCGTGTTTTCCCAACACATCGTGATTTCCCCAAAACGTGGGGTTTGTTGGGTATGACACGTTCATCGGCTTTCGGCAACAATCTGAAGAAGGAGGCCGCGGATGTACATAGTCAAAAGTACCACCTTGATCAGCCTTGATCCCTCCGAAAAGGCTGCCAGGTTTATGACACGTGTGAAGCTGCAATGCCGTGGAAAAGGTGTGCTGGCTTTGAAGAGCGCAAGCTAAGGCAAAGCCCGTTTTTTGTTCACGACTGCTTTGATCTCCATCAAACAACTCGAATTAGCGCATCCGGAAGTGAACCCGAACAACCATAGAACCTTTATGGCTTGCCACGCTTTTCTACTTGCTTTCTACGGTTTAGCTACGGGTTAGAAAGCACGATGTTTTCCAAAAAACACGATGTTTTCGGTTGGGGCGGGTTTCTATGGGTGTTCTATGGTTTCTTACGGGTTAGTCGCCAAGACCCTACCGCATTTTCAACATAACACGAAAAGCGTCAAAAAATCTCAAACAGCGTCACCCAGGTTGTTGCACTCAAAGGAAAGGCTTCGGGATTCCAGCCCCCTTCAAACTGGTTCGGGTGTGACCTGGCGCCAGCTCAGGGATCAGTGTAGATCCCTGCCCCTCATGATGTGAAGCAAAGCAACAAATAAGTAGTGTTTCCGCCAAATCGCTATCAGGAGTAGCATGGCAATTGATTTTGTTGCAGAATGCAGTCGTTCAACACCTGCCTAGAGCTTCAAGAACCTGAACAATTGTCGTGCCCTGACTAAAACATCTTGCTTTCCTTGAACACTTTTTTTTTCAGAAGAAAGCATTGTGTTTTCGATGAAACCAAAACAAAGGCCTTCTGAGGCCAAACGCTCATTTGGAGCACAGGAGCAAAGGCAAGGGTCGGGAGTGGACTTGCTAAAAAACTGAAGTCTTGTTGCTTCATCACCCACCTCAAACTTGCACTGGTGCCGCATGGCAAGCAATGTCAAAAGTCCGCAAACCAGGCTTGCTTCACGCCCATGTGCTTTGCCCTGGCCATGGGACCGCGCCTTGTTAGAAACGCTGGAGCCGATGCCTGAAGTTTCGTCTGAACCTAAGGATACGCCTGAAGCTTGGCCCGTTGCCTTGCTTCCAGAACACGTTTTGCGTGATGGGTCGTGGCTTTCTGGTTCTGGTTCTGCTCCAGGTGTCACCAACACCTCAAGGCAGAAAGCCACGCCAACATCTACAACAGCCGCAAACACACAACGTGTTGAGCGCAAACACCAATGGGCACTGTCGCATGAACAAGTGATTGCAAAGCTCTGAGCATGTTCTTAACACCGGCGCGAACCCAAACAGCCAGCACCATGTGGGCGCGCAAGCGTGAATGGCCTTAAAGCAAGAACAAACAGTGCTGTCCTGGACACTCGCGGGAATCAGCGTGACACACGCCAGCAGCTGCAAGTGTTTAGAGCTGCGATGTAGGTCACGTCTACCCTTCCATGCGAAAATCTGCAGAAACAACTTCCATAAGCCGTTCCGCGCAATCCGGCACTTCCTCAACAACATGCCGCAAGGACAGCTAACAAACAATTCAAACCGTTTGCGCGACAAGCTTGCGTCTAAGAAAAGCTTATGAGGCTTTGCGCCACGTGTTGTCCTTGCGCGGGGGAGTCCTTGTGACCAACCCCACTCAATCTCAGCGCAGTTTGGCTTGGAACACTGCTCAAACGGCTGGATGGTCAAAACTCCTGCTTCCAGAAAACGCCAGTCTTCGCGCATGACAAGTCTCTTGCACGTTCCTTTCTCGACTCTACCGCCACGCCCTTTTGTTTGCAGTTTGGAGCTGCTGTTGCGGCTGCAGTTGCGCTTGCAAGCAGTCGCTATCATTTGCCGTTTCCACCTGCGCTTGCCGCGGCTGCTCCGTCCTTGGCCGATTTTGTGCAAGCTTGCAAGAAGCTGCTTGGGCTTTCGCCGGTCTTTCGCGGATCTTTACGAAACTTGCTCCAAATACGGTGTCGCCACTCAATATACCCGTAAATAGGTAAACAGGGTTTTGCAGTACCTCCGCAAGGGTTACCGTCGGCCCGGCCAATTTAAATAACCGATTTAAATGGGTATGTTGCGCTACTTTGCCTCTGGCCCGGCTGAATCTGGCTTAATCTGCTGAATCTGGCTGAACTTGACCGAAGTTGGTCTGGCTGAATCAGCTCTTGAGCGAGCACTCTGTCGATCAAATGCTCTGCTAACTTTGAAGGAACATTCAGAACTTTGCCTGCTCCGGCCGGCCCTTCAACCTCCAAAACCCTCCAGGTGCTCAGCTTCGGAATTGTATGAAACAGGTCTGGAATGTATCTGGATTGGTCTCATCTGGAAAATTGACTTTCTCCCCCTATCACCCTCACCCCTTTGTATTTCTTTCACAGGCTGGCATAAGCGTCCGAATCCCAGGTCCAAAGGGTCTGGAACGAAGTTGCAGGTGATCCGGACATCTGGATCCGGAGTTGTTCAGGACCTAATGTGCTTGGTGCCAGCAGTCTGAGTTGGGCAGTCTGCAATAGCAGCTGCGGCGGACAACTGGTGGGCAGCACTGAAAACGCAGAGCATAGAGAGAGAGAGAGAGAGAGCATATCAGCGTATGCGTCAAACAACGCTTTGAGCAAAGAGAGCGTTGACAGGTTTACCACACGAACATCGATGCGTTTCTATATCATTGGGGCCAAGGCACTGAGACGGGTGTCAGGTGCTTGGCGTAGTCTTCTGCCCGTCTTGCAGCGTCAGCGGAAATCTCGCCTGTGCATGCAATGCTGCACACGCAAGCCAATGGCATAGCTCACCCACTGAACCTGCTTGCCATTTGCAATCGTTCGGTGAATGCCATTGGACACAAAAGAAAGACCCCGGTCACCCTCTCAAGCATGAGGTGCGCGCTTGCGTGTGGACCCGACAGCTGCGCTCCAGTCACCATGAGTGTATGCCCATCAAGCTGCCCACTTAGATTTGTTACCCCATAAATGAAAACACACACACACAACTATTTAAATATTGTACACGCAAGCAGCAAAACGGCCATCACGCCCATCACAATGAGCCAAGAGCTTTTGTATGAACCAGTAAGCTGCAGGTGAGGTACCGAAGGGAAATCCCTTCTCTTTTCACTCGTTCACGGAGTCGATTCTCAAACTTTGGCAACATATCCTACAGCTTTGCCACTCCAGCAGTTGCGATCGTTTGCTGGCTAAGTAACGTGCATGCTTTTCTGCGAGTGTGCATGCCCGTGTGTGTGTGTGCATGTGCGTGCAGTGGTGCACGACTGGAATTGAGCTAGTGTGTGTGTGTGTGCTTGTGTTCTTCGCATGTATGCGAAGGCTGCGAAGGTGTGTAGGTTTGTAGGTGTGTAGGTGCGCGGACATGCTTGCACGCGTGCATGCGTGTGTGCATGTGACTCCGCGTATATGTATGCATGTATACATATTTCATACATTGCACATCATCACATATTCTGGCGATGACTCAAGGCATACGTTAAAGGTGCCTGGAATTCGCTAAATCGCTGGTTTTAGGAAATCCTGTGGCGGGCCTCACGCGGGAGACCCTTGAGACCCCTCACATCATATTGACTTGCTTTGCACATGGTTGGTTGGTATGGTTGGTCATCATTTTGGGGTTGCAGAAATTCCGATACCCAGCGGTACTGACCGAGTTTCTGGCTTTTGTCAAAATTGAATCGCTTCGTTTCCCAACATGTTGACTGCCTGCATCGTCTGGGCAAAGACCGTCAGCTTGGGCGGCTCGTCGCGCTACCGAGCCAGCAACCAAGGCTGCCACTTCGACAGCCTGGCGGGCGCGCGTGCTACAAGACCATGCCACGTCTGATTCAATAAGCTCAAATTCGAGAAGGGAAGCCTCACCACAACTCCCCGTGTGAGGGCGCTGCCCTTTCCCAGCAAAACAAACGGCAAATGCGGCTTGTGGTGTACGAAATGAGATTGAAAGTTGGAGAACAGTTACAGCTGACACTTCGTCGCTGTTTCGAACTGTCACAGTTAGGTGGACACTTAGTGCACACGTGCCCCAGCACACTTCGCCTCGGATTGACTAGCGCCAACAGCCAAGGCTGCCTGCGCAGCAGCCTCGCCTACAAGAACAGCTCTGCAAGAACAGAAACCGCAGAAGCGCAGCGCCCAGAAGCACAACATCTAGCAACAACGTTTCAATTAACTGGAAGAACTGACTGTAACACGAGTAATTGAGGTTTCCAAAGATCCAAACACGCACAAACCCGGTGCCGCCATGCGCCATGCTCTGATACAAAAAAACAAATCCCATGTGCCATGCTTTGCGGTACATCTATGCAATCCCAGGGTCCTGCTTGTTCAGCTGCTAGGCAGGCAAGGCTGCCGCAAAAAAATGCCTTGGGGCCAAGCGGGCGTGTCATAATTTGGTCGGGTTGATCGCACACAACTCCAAAACTCTCCAATACCGCACACCTTCACGTACATGTTGTAAATCACTAGGCAACATCTAAATGCTGCACTGCTTCAGAACCCAGAGTTCAAGCCTATTTTGCAGCCTCCGGTGCGTTGGCGGCGGCGGCCTGAATGGGCAGAAACGCATGCAAAAGCTATGCAAACCTCGGAGCAACTCTCTCGGGCTTCCCAATTCTCTTCCAAAGTTTGACAGCTGCTGCTGCTGCTGCAGCTGTGGCTTTTGCTGTTGCTGCTGCAGCTGTTGCTATTGCTTTTGCCTTTGCCGCTGCTGCTGCTGGTGCTGTTGCTGCTGCAGCTACTGCTGCTGCCGCGGCTGCTACCGTTGCTGTGCTGTTGCCGTTGCCGTTGCTGGCGCTGTTGCTGTTTCTCTTGCTGCTGCTCCAGCCAGCACAGGGCCGGCAGTGTCGATAAGGACGATGAAAATTGTGACGGTTCTGGTGAGGATTCTGACAATGCGGTTGAAGGTTGTGGTGGTCAAGGCAACAAACAGGGCTCCATCCGACCCAATCATTTGCCACTACTAATTCTATATATTACATACTAAATCAATACTATTTTTCCAGACAGCCAAGCTCCTCGGATGTGCTTTTTAGGGGCCACCCTAGAAATGATCAACAAGGCTGCCTTGCGGTTTCTATTATTGGGTTCCCTTCATAAGGTCTTACTGAAAAGTTGAACTCTGACCATTTTTCTTTCAAACAAATGGTGTGCTTTGCGTAAGCGGCTTTTATCAGTATTGCTTTTCCTTTGCAGCTACTACTCAAAGTTGCATTCAAATCAAAGGGGTCTCGCTTTCCAATTTGAACCTAATACTTGAACAAAGCAGTGTGAACCAGTTCTGGCCAAAAGCCGGGGGACCGAAATAATAAACCTTCCGGGGGGTAGGGGGATCGTGTTGCTAAAGTTGCCCAACGCACTTGTGTGGGGAACTCAAAAACCGACGGGCCGGGGCCTCGCCAGCATGCATTGCTGCATCCTTCTTGGTGGCTCCGGCAGCAATGGCCGCCTGACAGCCGGCGTAGCAGCAAGCAGCTGCTTTCATTGCCTCTTGAGCTTTGCGACAAATGAAGCTGCGCCATCCAAACCGCAACCTGCTTGTGGGTCACGTTACGGTGAGACGCATACAGTCGTAGTGTTTGCCAAGTGACTTAAGAAGTCTTGGCTGAAACTCGGCCTTTCTACGAAAGCTTGTTTGACCCCAATGACGCATAGCCGCATAGCCTTTCAGGATCGGGTTGGGGTCAAAGCATGACTTTGTGTCAGAGGAGACACAGGGGTGGGACAAGACGAGCGGGCGGCACACACATGTCACATCTGCTTCTTCCTTTATTCATTATTATTCTTCTTCTCTGTATGTTTCGCATTGCGAATGCAGTTTGCAGCACTCACAACACACACACACATCCGAATTCCGGTCAGCCTTGCCAGCGGCTTCGCTGGCAACTCCCAGCCGCGCATGGCTTAGAACCGTGTCCTCCGGTCAATTAATGGACAGAAACAAAACAGCAAGGCTGCAATTCTGAAGATGCTGTGGACAACCCCACATGTCACTTCTGGCTTCATGCGTGATCCTGGGGGTTGACACAGCCTTCACGGGAAGATTGTGCTCGGTGCCTGTGCGCTCGGCAGTCCTTGGTGGCGTCTGCCGCCGCTTGGAAGACCACCTTGGCCACCTGGCTCGAGAATAGATGAGCTCAGGGTTCAAACAATTTCTGCAATATCTTGTTGCGAGTTCAAACCCCCGCCCCCCCCCCCCCTTCAAGGTTGACAAGGTTTGGGAGGAGCAGAAATTTGGGGCTGCCTGGAGATACCCCCTCCTAAGAACTTGAGGTCTGGATGAAGGGACTTGAGGCTTGAGGATTGTCATGGATTTGAGGGACTTTGGATATGTAAAGAAATCTTTGGCTTGGTTGTTGGCCCAGTTTTTTGTGGAAACCAGGAATGGTTGGGGGTGAGTTTGCTGGAGCTGTTTAAAGGGGCCTGTTTGCTTTGGCAAGGGGGGTGGCAGCGGGGAACCTTTCATTAGGGAGGGGTGCTTGGGAGGGCCCAAACATGGAGGATTTTTTAAAGGAAACCTTGTTGGTTTAGTATTCGTGGGAACCTGGGGGGAAAAGAGGAAACCTTTAATCTGGGGGTGGGGGTAATTACTGTTATTTGTTCCCTGACATTACCCTCGTCACTTCTCACATCTGTCTTCCTTGTGTGCTTGCAGGCTGCCCGATCTGTGATACCCGCCTGCTGGCTGCAAAAGCCAGCGGCGATAACCACTTTTTGTGCCGCCTCGCCCGCAATGCTTGCAACCTGCGTGGCAAATGTGAATTAGTTTTAGCCTCTCCAAGACTTGCCTGGCATGAACTACCTGGTGCACACCTAGTGGTTCGGCAGCAATGGCTGATTGGGACTGAGAAATGTTGAATGCACATATCAGCACACTGCAGCTTGCAAAGAAATGGAGACAGCTCGTTCCAGCTGCCTGATAGGCAGACTTGCCCTCAGCAATGGCTGCATTGGCCGCTGTGGACGCGCTTGCTTTGGCAGCAGCAGTGGCTCGTCGTGTGGACCCACTACCCGGAGAATAGATGGCACATTTACGACGTATATTTTTAAGTAGATGGCACGGGGTGATATAAAAATGCCAATTCACAGTTGGCACATATCTTCAATTATCCGGCGAATTGTGCCATCTACTGGCTCAAAAAATCAGGGAATATCCAGGGGGTCAAAAACATTGTGCCATCTACTTTGCAAACATGTCCGCCAACCCCTTCTGTGAGTGGATCGGAGTGAAGTGGGAGTGGAGTGGTGTGGCGTGGAGTGGAGTGGAGTGGAGTGGCGTGGCGTGGAGTGGAGTGGACTGGCGTGGGAGTGGAGTGGAGTGGAGTGGAGCGGAGCGGAGTGGAGCGGCGAGGAGTGGGGTGGAAGGCGTCGGGGGGGACTGCGAGGCTTGTTCGGGCCTCTACATGGGTCTCCCGTTTCCGGGCCAGCCGGAGCAAGAGCGTTAATTAAACTGCAAACATCACGCATATGTGTTCGGACTTTTTTAAAGGCTCATTTCATTTCAAACTTTTTGATTACGACTCACTCCATTTCCATCATAACAATTCAGACCTACTGATGCATATTTTCAGCCGACATCAGCCGACGAAATACTTAGAAACGTTTGGAAAGGACAGTGGTGCCCAAAAGGAAGCTGCGGCTTCGAAGTGTTAGTTACGCGATTCCTGAGTATCGACATTTCTGAGTATCGATAGCTTGTCTTTTTCCATTTGGATTCTACAAGGAGGCATTGCTAAAGCGAACTCCGCGTTACACATTGCTTAAGAACCGCAAACAGCTTATCCTCCTCCCGGGCTTCCTGGGACCCTGAGAGCTGCAACTATGGTGAGACTCTTCCCCGAGCCGATTCTGTGACAAGTTCACGGAGCACGAACGAAGCTCAACTGCCTGCAAGGCTGCCTGGCGGAGGCCCTCCCACAAACGAAGCAAAGTAGATGGCACAATTCCACGCGTGGGCTTGCCAAGCAGCCCAGGCTTCGATCTTGGCTTGGACTTCCTCGAAGGCTGTACTTCCATAACTCCTTGCTAAGGCTGCCTTGCCCCTCGGCTGGAACTTGTGTGGCTGGACCTCCCCGCTGCCTGGGGGCGGCCTTGTGGAGGCACTGCCTGGCTGCAGCTTGTGTGGCTGGACTTCCCCGCTACCTCAGAAACTGCCTTGTGGAGGCCCTCCCACAAACGAAGCAAAGTAGATGGCACAATTCCACGCGTGGGCTTGCCAAGCAGCCCACGAAGGCTGTACTTCCATAACTCCTTGCAAGGCTGCCTTGCCCCTCGGCTGGAACTTGTGTGGCTGGACCTCCCCGCTGCCTGGGGGCGGCCTTGTGGAGGCACTGCCTGGCTGCAGCTTGTGTGGCTGGACTTCCCCGCTGCCCGAGAAACTGCCTTGTGGAGGCCCTCCCACAAACGAAGCAAAGTAGATGGCACAATTCCACGCGTGGGCTTGCCAAGCAGCCCACTTTTCGATCTTGGCTTGGACTTCCTCGAAGGCTGTACTTCCACCTTGCCCCTCGGCTGGAACTTGTGTGGCTGGACCTCCCCGCTGCCTGGGGGCGGCCTTGTGGAGGCACTGCCTTTGTGGAGGCCCTCCCACAAACGAAGCAAAGTAGATGGCACAATTCCACGCGTGGGCTTGCCAAGCCCAGGCTTCGATCTTGGCTTGGACTTCCTCGAAGGCTGTACTTCCATAACTCCTTGCAAGGCTGCCTTGCCTTTGAGCTGGAACTTGTGGGCTGGACCTCCCCGCTGCCTGGGGGCGGCCTTGTGGAGGCACTGCCTGGCTGCAGCTTGTGTGGCTGGACTTCCCCGCTGCCCGAGAAACTGCCTTGTGGAGGCCCTCCCACAAACGAAGCAAAGTAGATGGCACAATTCCACGCGTGGGCTTGCCAAGCAGCCCAGGCTTCGTCTTGGCTTGGACTTCCTCGAAGGCTGTACTTCCATAACTCCTTGCAAGGCTGCCTTGCCAAGCTTTTGCTGCTAATTGCCTGTGTGGTTTTACAGGAACCATAAATGCCTAAATCAAAAGCTTTAAGGCCATGCTCAGAAAAAAAGGCACCATCAAAAACGGCAGACAACTGGTTAGGCTGGAACTTGTGTGGCTGGACTTGCCTGGCTGCAGCTTGTGTGGCTGGACTTCCCCGCTGCCCGAGAAACTGCCTTGTGGAGGCCCTCCCACAAACGAAGCAAAGTAGATGGCACAATTCCACGCGTGGGCTTGCCAAGCAGCCCAGGCTTCGATCTTGGCTTGGACTTCCTCGAAGGCTTAACTCCTTGCAAGGCTGCCTTGCCCCTCGGCTGGAAGCTGCCTGGGGGCGGCCTTGTGGAGGCACTGCCTGGCTGCAGCTTGTGTGGCTGGACTTCCCCGCTGCCCGAGAAACTGCCTTGTGGACTCCCACAAACGAAGCAAAGTAGATGGCGCAATTGCACGCGTGGGCTTGCCAAGCAGCCCAGGCTTCGATCTTGGCTTGGACTTCCTCGAAGGCTGTACTTCCATAACTCCTTGGCTGCCTTGCCCCTCGGCTGGAACTTGTGTGGCTGGACCTCCCCGCTGCCT